CTATATTTAAATATTAAATTAAATGGGTGTATGGCATACAAAATTTAATAAAAGGGATATTTAGTGGTTGCTTCTTAGACATCAAATTTACATAAATGGAATATTTAATGTAGACATAAATACGTGAATGGGTAGAGAGCCTCATTAACAACTTGATGAAAAACATTATCAAAATTATCTAGAAATCTGTTATATGTATGTAATTAAAGATAGATATATGGTATATGCGAAGTATTAAAAAGGCTAGTAAAATTGATTAAATATAGTACATCGAGAGATAAGTTTCTCATGCCAGCAGTCTGCATAGACAGACTAGACTAGATCCTAGACTAGATTTTGGACAAGATACTAGAGTAGATCCTCGACTAGATCCTAGACGAGATGATAGACTATACCAAGGCGACTGCTCATGAGCTTACTAGATCTCACTTACTATTGCTCAGTTGGGTAATCTATTCACCAGATTACAGCTGTGCATAGGCCTTTGATTCCCTAAGATGATCTGTAAAAAAAAATTGTTATAAAGGAAACTTGGAAACTTCAAAGGAAAAACCTTTAAACCTTTAGGCCGTTCGGCAGCTTAGCTGGAGAGAAATCTGAATTCGCGCTATATAGAAGAATAATCATGATGGTTTGCTTTGTCAACTATAGTACAAATATAGCTTTCAGAGGTATCCATGCTGATCCTTGACCAAAAAGCAACAGCTCTCGAAAGGTAAATCTTTGAGTGGTTAGGGCTAGAATTTCTGAGTCTTTGGAGTATTGTTGCCGCTGCAGGACTGGACTCTTCAGGACTATTGGTTATACATGTAGCTTATTGATTATATAGGGTTTTGTTTTGCCTTTCCGCCATAAAGAAATTAAACTGTTATGCATCCAAATTAAGATCCAAGTTAAGATACTGATTCTCCTCAGCCTTAATTCATCTCAATTCCTTCGCATTCATTTACAGTCTCAAGTCTAAGCAATCTATTTTAAGTCTAAGAAGTCTGATCTAAGCAGATTGCAAATCAAATGAAACTAAATTTATTCTCACTAAAACATATTCAGCAGCTGCAGAAATAAAAATGCTTACTACCCTTTCCCTCCCTCTCTCCCCCTGCCCAACTCTCTCTGGAGTGCAATTTCCGTGGCTCATTTCTAGTTGGGCTTCTGTGAAGCTCTCCAGTTGCAGGAGAGCGACAAAAATAAATGCTTTATCGCATGCACGAATCAACAAGCCATAAACAATTCAAACAATGCAGCCCTTGCTCCCCAAGGACTTGGCACCCGGCAAGGATACGCCGAATGCGTAGCTGCAATTGTCTCGACAAGTCCTTCCACTCTTTTCTATTTTCTGTTGGTTTTCTGTTCTGTTTTCCTTTGGCCTGCTGATGTCTGGGTCAGTGGCTGTGACATTTTCGACCAGTTCAGTTTGTTTTTTTTTTTTAGCATTTTTTTTTTTTTTTTTTTTTTTTTTTTTTTACTGAGCCTGTTCTGTGGTCAATTTGACTTTGACAATAGCAAGTAACTGGAGCTGGCCATAAAACATGTCCGTGGCTGGACGCAAACAATTTCACGCGGAGCTGGCTAGCCCACTGCCGAAACCCATTCGACGGGTATATCAATTTTGGTTGTTGGCTTAGCCAAGCTCTGTCCCTTCGGGCCGACAACTTAAAGCCGAGCTGCGAACTTGACGAGTTTTTTTCCACGCACACGCAACTCGAGCTAAACATGAGCAAGACGAACGACGACAACATTCAACATGTCAGCCAACAGCTCGCAGTGGGGGAAGGGCGGTGGAGGGCGTTGGGGCCACTCAGGAATCTGTCTTGTGGCCGCCAGCACCAAGATGAAACTATTATCCACGGAAATTAGCGCGCCGCATGAAGAAAAACACATGAAATGCGAGCAAGTTTTTTCGTTACTTCAAGCGAAATTTCTAAATTGCTGTTGACATTGATGTTGCTGCGGTTGTTGTACTTGTTGTTGTTGCTGGTGTTGCTAACTGCGATTAGCTCAACTGAACGCCTCTGCTTACACAAGAGACTTGCTTGATTCGCATTTAAGTCAGAAACGTGAGATCTGCGAATGAAGTGTTACAAGTGGAGAAGGATTGATAAAAGCATATTGAATGTTTAACTGAGAGGTATGAATTTAGTACCCATAATTATGAAAATGTATGTGAGGGGCAGAAGAAGACGTGGCAGAAAAATATAAAGTATACACAATCATCTCAAAGCTGATTTAAAAGAATTTAAAAAATCGATAAAATCTTAGTCTTAAAATAAATTTTATCAATGAGATGTAAAGGCAAGTTATTAGATTTAAACTTAACAAAAAAAAAATTTTTTTTTTAAATCAACGTTTTATTGTTGGAAAATACGAAATATCTCAAAGCTATTAGCTCCAATGATGTTCAAGGATGTTGAGCAAGATCCGCGCAAGTTATGTCAGCCAGAAAGGAAGAAAGAAAAGGAAACGAGTGTATTTGTTAATAAGGCTATGCTCATTTAATATATATTTATATAATACATATGTACATACAGTAAGTTTGAATAAATTATATACAAATGATTATGTCAAGTTAAGATAGTTTTAATGGGGTCCCTATATAAGTTTTCCCCCTAGCTATGTTAAATTTTAGCAAATCCATTTCCATTGTATAAAATATGATGTTTAAGTAGAAAAGAATATGGCGTCCTGTGCTCTTAAATTTTAAATATGTAAAACAACACTTTTGCATAACGTAAGTTGACTAAAAATAAAGTGTCCCATATAAAAAAAATAAAATAAAATAAAATAAAAAATAAAATATTAAAAGTAGATACATGCAGAGTATGTAACTATTTTTGTATAATTTTTATATAATCTCTCGTATATTTTATTTTTAGTTAAAATACTTATAAATATTTGTAAAATACTTTATATTTTTATTATAATTGATAAGCATGAAAATAAACAAATAAATCATTGAGAAATAAATTTAGATTAAGTTAAATTATTAATTAAATTAAATAAATTAATGATCAAAAAATTCCAGCTCCTCTGCTGATCCGGCAAATGCGATTAGGGTCTTAGGTAAACAGAAATTACTACCCTATTAAAAAGCAACAAGTCAACAATATATACACCTGATCAAAACAAAGAATTTCGTCTAAATAGCCACGTTAATTCATCTTTCCTATTCCGACCATGTGAACGCAAATATATCGTAAACCATAAAAGCTTAATGCTTGTAACTTTAAATATTAATTATTTATTTATAGCCCTTGGGAATATTTAAAAGGAATATTACCTGGAACTAAAGCTAGGGTCTTATACTTGCAAATGTTGTATGTATATATTTCTGAAATCTATACCATACCAGAATATTCGCTAGCCATTTCCTCGCTATCGATACAAATTGCTCAATTGACTTCCCATAGCAGCTTCACCCCGAATTTATCTCCTAATTCTAGCCCCATCTGAAACACATATCATATATCACTTTATTCATTGCTTAGCATAAAGCACACACACACATATGCGAGAACATGAACTATCTGTTATTACGTAAGCAAATACCTATTACATCGCAACTACTACCTAATTCATATATAATCTTCAGCTTTACTGCAAGCTCCATTAATAAGCGCTTGCGGCATCTAGCTAGATCTGCAGACAAGCGCACAATATTTATGTATGCATGCATATAAATTACATTGGACTCGATTCGGGGCCATGTTCTAGTCTGTTACTCTTGCCTGGGCCGCTTAACTTTGCGGCCATAAAAGTCGAGTCCAACATTTTGGCACATAAAATATGCGTAAGATATACGCGCAAATAGTTGACGGCTCGCAGGAGTGAGGGGACATTGCCGGACCCGGCCCGGACCCGGTCAGTGGCTAATAGCAAAAGCAAGTCAAAGATAATTGCTGTCCGACTACATTGTCGTTCTGTGCTTTGCATTTCTCTGCCGTCTCCGAAGAAAGATACACTCAAAACTTTACGAGCGCAAATGCCATTAAATATCCAAACGAATCTTGGCTACGTGAAGTGGCCGAAAAGGCCCGCTGCTCGCCCTCCGCCAGTCGTTTTTATTGCGACCCATCAAAAAAGCAAAGCAGAAAAGCAAAAAAATGGCCAAAATAATGTTAAAACGAAGGATTTTCATGCCCATTGTCTGAGCCAATGTAATTGCCAAATGTCTGAAATTCTGTCTGAGGCAAAACACTTGAACAAAGCCGCTAACGAAGCTGCTTTAGCAGCAACATGCAATGTTAAGGCTAACAGCGAGCGTAGCAGCGCGTTGACAGAGTGGAGACTTTTTAGCAGCGCTGTTAGCCTAACAGTCTGCCATTATGTTAAGCGCTGTTGGGCGAACAGAATGTGAGAACTAAACGAATACTTAAAACGAATGCATTTTTAAAAGAATTTCTGATAATTTATTTTACTGTTATTTAGCATTTGGCTAACAGCTGACCCAGTAACAGGAGTCACCCAGCGTCGCTTAAGAGAGTCGCACGAATACCTGGCGACAGAGCGACAAAAGAGACCAAATGCAATGGCAGACAGTGGCAGAGCAGGAGACGCAGTGGAAGGGTGAGTGGGAGTGGCAGAGGCAGAGGCGCGACAAATGTAAAACCGAACGCTGAACATTGTTGAGGCAGGTGACGAAGTGTTGAACTTCGTCCTTGATACGACAATATGTTACGCTGAGCGCTGCCGCTAATGTCCTGGCTGACGGCACGGCCAAAAGACAACAGCAGCAGCAGCAGCAGCAGCAGGAGTAGCAGCAGCAATTGCGGTGTCTTCGTCTCATGAGTTGAACGAAGAGATGTCGACAAGCAGAAGTAACAACAACAACAACAACAGGGAAACATTTCTAAAAGGAACCGACGATGACTGAGGCGAGAAACAAGTTAGCTCTGTCGTAAGCGACAGCGACGCTGACGGTGCTGCCGCTGCCGCCGTCGACGTCGCTTTGGCTACACGCTGTGCGCGCCGAGCAATTGGCCCAGCATCAGTCTCGAAAAGCCTTCTGTGCGTGCAGAGGTCAACGCGTGCCACACACGTCGCAAACGCAGCGTGCGCTAACGAAAAAGACGTAAAGCCCGAGTCACGTGAAGTGAGTGCGACTTGGAGTGTTTGTCTGCCCGGCTGTCTTCTGTCTCTCTCTCTCTGTCTGTCTGTCTGTCTGTCTGTCTAACTGGCTGTCTCTTCTGCCGGCTGTCTAGTGTTAATCCTTGCCAGGTGGGCCCAATGAACCATGTCGAAGGCATTGAACTGTGGCTGCACATGGACACGAGCGTGAACGTGGACAAGGTCCTGGCTAAACCTTTGGCCAAGATGCCCATTAAAAATTGATGGCCATTGAAAAGCCTTAACAAGTGCGAAGCGCTGGGCGTCTTTGTTATTGTTGCTACGCATGTTTTTGACATTTTCTGCTGGCATTGGCAAGAGGTCAAAGGTTGAGCAGCCGAAATTGCCAACTTGACTGCTCGAGTGCTACCAAATTAATTAACATGACAATGACGAAGGTGAATTGCGTGTTGTTGTTTTTTTTTTTTTTTTTTTTTTTTTTTTGATTTTTGCGACTTTTGCCATGCCCTTGCCCCAAAATCCTTTCTGCAGCAGCCGCATTAAAATGCTGCCTCTCCCTCTGCCTCTGCATCTGCCCCTCCCTCTGCTGTTGTTGTTGTTAAATTGTTGTTGCTTGATTTCCGCAAGCATTTACAACTTTTTAATTAGACCCTTTATATGTCGAAGGCATCGACTTTGCACCGTAATTAATTGTTTATTGTTTGGCGATTTGAGGCCGTGTCGAGGCGGCAGGCCTCGTGCAGCCATCTGCCACGCCCCCATTCGATTCGGCTACTGAAGGCTGAAGGTGTTGAGAGTGGGCGCGGCACGTAACGCCTCTGTAACGTCGCCAAAGCACTGACAAAGGCCACCATGATTAAGTGTGAAGTGAATTGGTCGCGCCTGTTACAGCCCCATCGAGAGGCCCAATGAGACAGAATTACTCTGAAAACCGAGTTTCATGCTCGAGCAGCAGAAACTAATCATAGATTCCGATGAATCAATAGCAAGACGTGTGGCTAACAGAGATGTGATTGTGCTTTGATAAGAGTTGAGTTTATTTTGATTATTTATATGTGTGATAATATTGAAATACTTGAAGTAATTAGATTTCTTAAAATTCGTACATTCATTAAATATTTCAATATTTAAGGAATCATATTTCCCTAAAAATTATTAGTCATATCTTTAATAATCTCTATGATAAATTACTTTATTTATTCAATATA